GTGTCTACAAAAAGTATTGAAACCTGGTTTTTAGCAGTGTAAGCCCTTAGACTTACTGTTGAACCACTAGGGGGGCAACTTCAAAGGAATAAATCAGTAAGAAAAAAACTCTCTTTAAGATGTATATACTTGTACTTTATTATTACCTCATTCCTTTTTGACACTGTATGAAGAAAAAGTGTATTCCTTAAGCTCTTCCTACACAATGGTTAAAATTTTATTTAAAATTAGGAAATTCTTAAGCAAATAATTATGGTAATCTAGGTGTATAATTACACTATATACCTCTTCAACAACTACTGTAAATTTACCATGGAAATATCCTTACTGGGACTTTTTCTACATACCCCATTTCCTGAGAGAGTTGGTGTTTGTAAAGCTCTGCAAAGATATTCAAACACATCCAACTGAAGAGCTGTATTTCCCAAGTGACGAAAGGTATTTGAGTTTGTCGATGAAGCATCCTTAATCCAAAAACGCACCAACATCCAGGCCAATAGCAATGGACTATGTTGTGGATGATTACCTAAAGTTCCAATCATGTTGTCTAACTTCTACAAGTTTAAAAAATATAATTATTATTTTCTATCTTTGTAAGATTGAACAAGACATTGTCTCTTAAATATGAAAAGCTTATGACAGAAAAGATTCTTAACACATACCTACAAGTACTTCTGTATAGAATGTAATAATAACATTTGACAAGCAAGCAAGACCATTTATTCACCTGTAAGACAGTTAACTATTTTGTAATGAGTAGTAAATGTAATTTGATCAATATACAGCTTATGATGATACTGAACAATAATTTGTTGTCAATAATGATACCTCAAAGTCTTTATAGATTTAGTATTTCTAATTTTCAATATAGTGTGTATATCTTCACAAAATTTGGCAGCTAACATTATAAGTCTTTCACATACAAAAAATCATATTTTTAGTGAAGTATTTTAATAAACTAAAATAATGATTTGTCCATGAATATATTGAGTATTTGTTTTAAATAGTCTGTGTGCAAAGTAATTTTCATGTTAAGATTAAATATACTTTTCTTCATCTCAAATTTCTTTTGTGTAATCCCTAAAACCTCCTAAGTATATTATAAACGTTTTATTTCCAGCAAAACTTTATATTTTATCTGTTATTTTCTCCACCTATCTCTATACGGGATTGGTCAATTTGACCAACCACATAACACTTTGAAAACACTCTGCGACTGAAACATTTTCCCTTGCTTCAAAAAAAACCTTGCAGTAACGTTT